GCGTTGACGTTGAGCCCGACATATACGCAGCTGGCACGGGACGGGATGGTCGACGACGAGAGCGGATGCGGCACGGAGGTGTACGAAGTTGTGGCACGGATCCGGAGCCCGGACGGCGCCGAGAAGAGGTTCCTCAGCGGCGGGCGTCGTAGTAGTCGGAGACGTTGTCGTATCCGGCGACGTCGAACTTCGAGCCGCGTTGATTGCCGACGTTGAACTCCGAGCCATTCCTTCGCCGTTGAAGCCGTCCATCGCCGCCGACGACGGGGTCAAGCACGCGATCGATCCGGTGCGGACGCGGTGGATCCGACCGACAATGGGGTGGATCTGGCGGTGGAACGGTGGATTCAAGCGGAGGCGGCGAGAGGAGCGGCGGGGGAGAGGGAGAGCGGCGCTGCGGGAGAGGGAGCCGGCGCTAGGGTTTGGGAGTGCGGCTAAGGAGTGTGGATGAGCGAGAGAGGATGGGGGCGGTCATCGGCGGGGGTATTACGTCCACACAATATCGGCCGAATTTGAGCGGTCCAAAGTTTGCAGGCCTGTTTAGTTCAAGAAGGCCGGAACACTGTGCAATTCTGGATTCCTCGCCTGAATTCGGGCGAACTAAACGGGCCCCAAATGGAGATGATAGGCAATCGTTGGATGTTTCCATATTATTGGGGCTAGGCTGTACTATCAAAAATAACCAAGCTGGAGCAATTAAGCTGCAGGATACAAATCTGATCCAAAATAGTGCATTGGAATGATTGTTTCTATGTATTTATTGCGGATTAACCAGCGCATTCTTTCTCCTTGATTCTTGATACAATTGATTGTAGCACAAGCCAGTATATTCCCTCCAGCCAATGTTCCTTGACGTTTCGGACAGGGCAAACAGTATGCTTGCTGCAACTTTTGCTTGTCTCAAACATCAATCTCTGCTGGCTGGAGGTAGCATGCATCCATCTGCAATGCGGGAGTGGCTTGAGACATCTTCGTCCTGTTCGTTTGGGCTGGTTTGGCTTATAAGTCATGGCTGAAAGTACTATTGATTGGTTTGGTGTGAGAAAAAAATACTGTTCGTTAGGTGATAAATCATGACTTATAAGCCAGATACGAGCAAGCGAACAGACTGCTTGTGCGTAGGTTGGTTTGGGTATAGCATTTTCATCTTGCAAAGCACATAAATTTGGTTTTATTATTTTCCTTTACTATTTCTGTTTTGAGTTTTAGCCGGGGTTTCATGTTTTAGTTTCCAAGATTATATGCTGCCCCATGAAACTCATTTCATCCGTTGAATTTTCATCATCTCTCTTCAACTATATTGTTTTTACGGCTGATAAGCCGGCTGTGGATATTTTGTTGTGAGAGAAAAAACACTCTACCATGACTGATAAGTCGGGCTGATAAGTTCAAGCGAATAGGATGACTATGTCATGCATGTCAACTTATTTAATATTTATGAAACTCTCATGAAACCTCCACTAAATCTGGCCTTATAAACTCATGTCAACTTTGGTCTCTTTGTTAGTATACGTCCGCTTGTATATGTAACTTATCCCCCATGCCTTCTTTATTATGGTTTATTACACTCACCTGAGGGCAAAAGGGCAATAACCATTCTGATAACTTTTCCTTTTTTCAGAAAATGAAAAGAGAGAATGTTTGTGTCTTTACGCCCACTGAAGGAGTGAAGACTCAAACGTGCTTGCCAGCGAGAGATAGGGATGGCAGCAAAGATTCCAGGCCACGATATACTCCCTCAGTCTCAAAAATAGAGTCGTTATAGAATCATGTTGGTTAAATTTTCTTAACTTTAACTAGATTTATAGAAAATACGTCCGATATTTATATCTTAAAATAAATTTATTATGAAAATATATTCAACGATCTACCTAATGATACTAATTATGTATCATAAATATTAATATTTTGTTAAATATATTTAATCAAAGTTAAAAGTTGCTGATTTTTTAAGCGAGAATGACTTTTTTTTTGACCGAGAGAGTATGGGGGTAGTGTGCTCATGATCATACGTACGATTCCTGTGGCCCATACCCCCATAGTACAGAGCTTGTATCTTACTCCATCCGTTCCATCCGTTCTAAATTATAAGTCGCTTTGACTTATTTGATTTATCTATTTTGTTATATATCTAGACATATTAATATATCTAAATGTATAGCAAAGTGAATATACTAAAAAAAAAAGTCAAAGCGACCTATAATTTGGAATATATAGTATCTCCCAAGGTCTATAAAGGGATCAGTCGCTATCATATGTCTGTTCAAAGGGAACAGTTTGATAGTTATTAATAAAGTATATCTGACCTGGCAATTTACATGGAAAGTTTTTTTCGCTGAAATTTAGCTTACGCTGAATGCTTATATTGATTTGTTGTGAGAGAAAAACAATGTTCGTTTGCTGAAAAGTACTGTTGAAGTAGTGCCGAACAACAGGGCTGCAAACGATATGTAAAGTGAAAACACACAATAAATAACCTGTTCCACGAATTATTAGGTGAAAATAGTTTAAGATGAGAAGTAGTTATACCAATAACCATAGGTGATTGTTAACATTCATATATCTCTATTTTGGTGGACAGCAAAGTACATCTGCAGATGCCGTCCCTTGGTGATTAAGGCATAAAAGGATAGAGACAGACCAGATCAGTCCAAAGGATCAATGGGCCCTCGAATTATTTGTCCACAGTTGGTCACTGCCTCACCGGTGATGGTGAATAAGGCATAAAAGGATAGAGACAGACCAGATCACTCCAAAGGATCAATGGGCCCTCGAACTATTTGTCCACAGTTGGTCACTGCCTCACCGGTGAAACTACACAGTTGAGATCCACAATCAAGACCCTCATTTATGTCCTTGCTTAATTTGCCTCACTGGAAGAAATTTTATATGCTCTTTCTCAGAAGAAAATTGAATTTCTGCATGCCCTTGTTTCTCCGACTTGCACACAGAAGTAGTTCAAGACAACCCATGGCGGTGGCGGAGCTTCAGGATCAGAGGAGGCTAAGTCTATCATAACCAACAAAACAGAGGGAGCATATTAGTACTTTTCTTGTCAATTCAGTGGTGCAATTAAGTACTTACTTAAGAAATTGTTGGGGGTATTTAAATCCAGAGGCTTCACATCGATTGTTCGGATAGTAATAATAAAATAAATTACAGAAGTCCTCATTAATCCGCGAGACAATTTTATTAAACCTAATTAATCCATCATTAGCACATATTTACTGTAGCATCATATTATTAAATCATAAACTAATTAGACTTAAAAAATTCATCTCACAAATTAGTCTCAACCTATGCATTTATTTTCATAATTAATCTATATTTAATACTTCATACATATGTCAAACATCCGATGTGACAGGGACTGAAGTTTAGGCCATGGCGATACATGAAGCAACGTATCATGGACGTGCCTGCTCAATGGTCATCCGCAGTAGCTGGGGGCATCTTTTGAAGGGACCAATCAATACCTTATCACATCCTCACAGTGGTCGGTAGTTCCTGCTGACTTCATCTGCGGGCCAGGTACAAACACGGAAATGACGGCCACGGTGCTGCACTGCTGCGACTAGCACGGCACCACTGAAAAAATTAGCACGGCATTTTTAAGTACTGATGAGGCATGGTCACAAGCTGAATCAGAATCCAACGTCTTCACGCACTGCCCCACCTGTTGATCCTCTGAAAAGTTCAGCATGGCACATGGCTGGGTGAGCTTTCCGATGACAGCTGAACGGGAATGATTTCGCTAGCCAAGCATACTTCCAACCATTAAACATTGTCGCCATATGGCACGGAATACATCTATCGTAGGCCCAGTTATACTTAATCACCATCCTCTCTCTCTTCCGGCGACCCTCCCTCTACCTCCATCTCTCTCCCACATCCTCACCACTCTCTGACACAAACACTAAGGGAGTAGTGACTACTGTCCTGTTGTGGCACTGACTGAGTTTGAGCTCCCTTGACCACAGAATCCCATGTATGGCGCACATGCTTTCTTTCGTCAGCTTCGTTCCCTCTGTGTCTTTAACATATAGCCGAAGCAGCAAGCTCCATGATCAGCTCTTCCAACTATTCTATTTCTACTATAGCTGAAGGGTTCCTGAGGGTAGCATGCCATCCATGGTGGATTCTACTGTCGAGGCTCCAAAATCCAAATGCTGAAGCCAACAGGAGGTAATAGCCTAGTCGCATACTCTCATGTGTTTTGCTCTCAGCCCTTCACTGGTTGTGTCGGTTGGGGACTGTTTTCTTTGATGGGGACATGGTGATGGATATGAGGCACAGAATCCCCAGTCTTGAAGGTGAAAAGAGCTAGCCGAGATATTGTGAGCTTCCTTCTCTTCCAATGCTCCAAGCCTTATTTGGCACTCGAATTGCTTTGCAAGGAGAAGCGATGGATCCTTCATTTACCTTGCTTCATGATAGTTTCCGCATTATTTAGCCTTGGAAATGCGGGTAGTTGGACGCCTTCAAGTACAACTGACCTTTTCTTGATAGGTGATAGAGACCTGGGAACTCCAAGCTGGTCTTAAGCAATGTATGGGGCGGCTATGGGCTCTCCGGAGGCAGCTCCCACATCCAACATTTCCCTTCATATTGTTCTCTGCAGACATTTGACCGAGCATGGAAGTGCAGGTACGAACTAGGAACACCTTCTTCTCTTGTATAGATTTATGTTCTTTTTATTTCTGCTTTTTCGCCGTCTAGTCTTCGAGTCTGACAAGAAAAAAAATGGTCAGAAAATTTATTGGAAAATCATAGCAAAAGTCTTGGATGTCAAATAAACGTAGTAAGCTTAGACCTGCTGAAACAGTCCAATTCGGTTTTTGTCTGACTTCAACAAAATACTGTTCTCTTTTTTTTTTAATCTTCAATATTACTACTTCATTCCTAAATGATAGGCGGTATCACCAGTAGATAAGGAAACCGGACCAGAAGGATAGAGTAGCTATACTGGTTCATTCTGCCGGCTTTGCATAATACCGAACATGGATGGCAAATCAGGGAAAACGGTGCAGAGTCTGCCTGATACACTGTCATCCCTCGTGGGGCTCAACAAGTACCTCACACCCAGCTGGATTGAATCAGTGTCTCACATCATCGAGGAGTTGTCACCAACCAAACCAAAGATGAAAGTAATGGTTCACACGGCTCAAAATATCTGTCCTGATTATACAGAATCAGATGCTAAAGTTGCAAAGATTCAAGGTATGCAGTTCTAACACTTCCCCTCGACCTCTAAACATTTCTGAATATTTTTTTCTTTTTTTGGTTACAGAACAGATAAACTATTTTTGCTGAATGTTCGACTAAAGCAGATAACACAGCAATAAAGTTCTCATATCTTCTCTTTGTTTGGTCATGACAGAGGAACTGGTTTTGCTGAATGCTAAACTAAAGCAGATAACACTGCAGAAGAGGCAGTCACTAAATAACTATTTGGATCTCAAAGGTTGAACTTTCTCCTCGATTTTTTGTGTTTGGCTTGATATATATAAATGTCACTAAATGTAATGGAAGTTGTTATAGTTCTGTTAATTCACATGCATTCATTTTCCAGGAAATATAAGGGTGTTCTGCCGTGTAAGGCCTTTTCACCATGAAGAGGATTATCAATCCAGAACTCTGTTCACCCTGGATGAGAGTAATGTATTCCTAAAAGTTGCTGAAACCAAGATAAAGCAATACAAGTTTGACAAGGTTTTCAACCAATGCTCAACACAAGGTATAATAGATTTGCATTTATAGGAACTGTGATGTTGAAGTGAATAATTTGAATGCCAGTCAGATTACAATAGTGTGGTTTCCAGGTGATGTATTTGCTGAAGTTGAACCAGTGATAAAATCAGCTTTAGATGGCTATAATGTTTGCATATTTGCCTATGGTCAGACAGGTAGTGGGAAAACTTATACCATGGTAAGCTCTACTCATTCCAACTCCTTATCTCATTCATGAAGAATAGATGAAAAATAAAAAGTCCAAATGAATCCAAACCAACAGAAATTTAATATGTTGATTTTACAATCCATTACCATTTGAATCAGGAAGGCGAGCCTACAGATCTAGGTGTCATACCACGTGCGATTCAAGCACTGTTTGATCGAACTTCAGAGAGCAACAGAAGGTTTCTGTTCACTTTCAGTATGCTCGAGATATATATGGGAAATTTGCGAGACCTGCTAGTTCCAGGTAGCAAGACACAAGGTTTTAAGAAAGTACCAAGGTAATTTAGCACTTTCTCTTAAAATGTTGGAAGGACTACCTTGTTGCAAAACAAGTAATGAAATCTCATTGACAGTCTACGGACTACAGATGGGAAAATAATGTGAATATTATTCGGTCAATGTTGATAGTTCTGGAAAACTAAAAATATGTAACAATGCTACTATAGTGCACTTGTGTTCCAAGGCTACCTAGCGGTCCTCCACAACCAAGAAAATGAACAGGGCCATTAAAATGGTGCATCAACGCATAGGCAACATATCAGTATGCCGAAAAATAAAGTGTGAATATTTAGACATAATAAAAGGATCTAAATTGGGGGTAGTGTGACAATCCAGCAACTGTCCAAGAGTCAAGACATGAATTGGAATTGGCATAGGTGGTTCTTGTACAATTTTGTTGATGCAGGTTAACTAACTGACATACATATGTGAACACTTATCACCTTTTCATCTTTTCATTTGTTGGAAGTAAACAATTATTCTGTATACAGCCTTTCCATCAAAACAGATCCTGATGGTGGCATCGAGATTGAAAACCTAGTGGCAGTTACTGTCAATAGTTTTCAAGAAGTGAAAAGACTATATGAAGTGGGGACCCGCTTTAGATCAACAGCTTCCACTATGGCTAATTCCACATCAAGCAGATCTCACTGGTAATCTTTTTTACTTTACTGAAGAAAATTCCTTACTATAACAACTGAAAAGGCATCAGCCATGGCTGCATCTGACTGAAAGAGACCCTGAATCAAAAGTGCATGCTTACTGAAACCTTATTATGCTTGGATAGGAAAGTAGCTGCTTTATTGAAAATACCATGGAAGAATTTCTATAGTAAAGCTTATACTCTTCGTTATGTGCAACAGTTTGATTCGTATTGCATTGACCTCATTTGACGCACCAGAGAGAAAAAGGGCAAGAAACAAATTATGGATGATTGATCTAGGTGGAAGTGAAAGGCTTGTAAAGACAAAGGCAACTGGGAAAAGACTCAAGGAAGGAAAAGCCATAAATCTGTCACTGTCAGCCCTAGGGGATGTGATAGATGCACTACAGACCAAAAAATCACACGTCCCTTATAGGTAAATAAAATCCCTAATATACTGGTGTTTGGCAGTTATCACAATAGATTTTTATTTTCGAGACAATGATACACGTTCAACTTCTTAATTCTCAGGAATAGCAAGCTCACACAAGTTCTTAGAGATTCTATAGGTAAGTAGCACCTCACTAACAGTTCCAGAAATGCAGAAAAATTGCTGCTTTCTTATTTTACAAACTCGGTTTTCTTGTAGCTCACCTTGGTGTATTCATGTTGACAGGATGTGAGTCCAAAACTCTGATGCTTGTTCATATCCGTCCAAATGAGGATGATTTGTGTGAGACCATCTGTACCTTGGGTTTTGCAACAAGAGTCAGAAGTATTTGCCTGGAAAATGAAGAACCACAAGTAAGCTTTTGCAGTGACACTAGCTTGTATATAGTCAAGAAAAGAAAATGAAGAGACCAGCTTTGTACATTCCTATGAACTAAACATTAAAGTAGATAAGGAGAAGTCAATGTCAGGCTGCTTTGATTTTCAAAGACAAGTGATAATAACAAGAAGAGAGTATGTTGAACTTGCAAAAAATGTTCGATGTCCCAGAAATTGTAATAACAATCTGTGTCCATGAACACAGATGAGTAATCCATTTATTAGGATGTGGTTCCACACAATCTTTGCTGCAAAAGACTAATGTTTTGATCTTGTACATACAGGAAGTAAAAGCAAGAAAGGAACATTTGTTAATGGAATTAGAACAGGAGATCAGTGATCTAGAACAAGAATGTGAAGGTATTATTAGAAAGATTAAGAAGCTCAAGGAAACAATTGAGCATTTTAAAGGGCCTCAGCCATCTGTTGAAACAAATTTCGACATTTCACATCCATCCAGTGAAGAGCTGAAAACTGACATGTCAAAGAATACAAGGAATTCAAAGAATCAGAGAGATGTTTCTTCCAGGTTACCAAGGTTTATGAAGCCAACAGCATCTAGCCAGCACAGGATAGGCTTAAATAAACACATACCTGTTAGTAACAAGACAAAACCACCAGTGCCACCAAAGAGAAGGCCTTCCTCAGTTTATGCTGAGTCTGTAAGGCTGCCAGTAAATGCTGCGACTTGGCAGTCAGAATGCAGTTCTGAATGCAGTATCTCCATGACAAGTGACATGAATTGGGTACCAAGTATACAGGATGGAACAGAATGCAGCCAGGATACATCAGAATACAAGACCAAACAAGTGATTTTCTCAGAACATGAGAAACCACCACAGGGTCAAGTGATTTCATTCGCAGAATCAGCGAAGACGCTGGATAAAACAGAGGAAATGGGCATTATAGACATTGACAGCTGGATTCATCAACAAATCATTGAAAACACTGGCATATGTCACAGTGAAAGGATGCTAGATATTACTGAAGTAAATGAATATGAAACTTACAATTCTAGTACTGCTTCACCTGTTCAGAAGGAAATGACTAATGGTTCTAAACTCTCACAGGATGAAGATAGCGACCTGAACCTCCCCACGCAAAATGTAGAAGATATCAAGGAAACCAAGGCTCTTAATCAATTCACAAGAACAGAATTATACACTCCTCCATCAAAAGAACTTTGCAGCAATGTCAAAATGAAGGAACATAAGAATGAAAAGCTTGCGTTTCATGGAAGTTGCAGCAGAAGATCACTGCAGGAAGAGCTCGGCAACTGGAAGCCAGAGCAGCCAAACAACGAACCAAAAGCTGTTCCAAACATGCAACCTGAAAACAAGTTCCATGACAATGAACACCATAAAGGTACGTTCTGTTGAACATTAGAGGATGAGCTTACATGAAAATATATTTTCAATGAAAAGAACATTATGCATCTAGTATCATCTAGATTTATTTGTTACTTATAAACTGGTATCAAAAGGGCGGGCCTGGTGCAAGCGGTAGAGTCTTACCGCCTGTGACCGGAAGGTCCCGGGTTCGAGTCGCGGTCTCCTCGCATTGCACAGGCGAGGGTAAGGCTTGCCACTGACACCCTTCCCCAGACCCCGCACAGAGCGGGAGCTCTCTGCACTGGGTATGCCCTTTTTTTTATAAACTGGTATCAAAGTAGGTGAAAGGGTTTGCAGAAAAGCTGTTATGGTCAACTTGGCCAGGGATGCCTGTCCCAGACCTAAGTTTTTAGGATACTCATATACTGAGGTAGATTAAATTCCCAAAAAAGGCCGAATTAGATTAAATTTCCAAAAAAGGCCGAATATTTCAACATACTAACTAGACTAAAAACTAAATCTGCTCATTTTATCATAGTGCAACAAACTGAACCAGTTCGTGGGTTGGACCATTGAACTGGTCAAACCGGCAACCTCACTGTTTGGTTCAGTTAAAAGACTATCCATTCAGTTGAACCGGTTCAGTCGGCCAGTTTTATGATGAACCGGTGAACTGGTTTTGTGATGAACAAGAAATAAGTTTGATGTTTGCCATTAATTTAGTACATTAGACAATAGACTAATGTTGGACCAGTGAACCAGTAGCTTGACCGGTTCGATCTCCGGTCCAGCTTTTCATTCTATGAATTTCATGGTTTTGCTTCCACTTTCACAGTTCTACCACCGTGCATATTGTGCCTAATTGGGAAGCTCTATATTTACTGATTTTGTTCTTCTCTACAGGTAAGTTGACAAAGTTCATTCGAGCCCTTGGAACAGCATGGATTGGTGCTCTTCTTGGACTAGGCACCATGAACCTTGGATTAGAGCAAGACTTCTTCAAGAGCTTAACACTCTGATTTAACTAGAATTTCACCATCTTAAAAGGATTCAACGAAGTTGTATACAATTTTAGTAAGAGTAACTACTTCAGGAATTAATGGGCACAGTGTATATATATTGCCACAATGAAATGTAAACTGCCAATATGCCACAGTGGCAGGTGAATTGCTAGTCTGAAATAGTTTCTTTGATTATAAATGGATAATTTCAAGAAAACTGGGGGGAAATGGGAAGAAATACTATATATGACGAATTTTGTAGTATCATTCTCAATTTCTCATAAATGGTTATTACAGTATGGAGAGAAGCTATTGCAATATCTGAACTTTGAGGGAGAGTTATTTACATCTCCAAGCTATTTCAGCCGATTGGGCTCTATATCAGCCATTAAAAGTAACATGTCACAGTAATGACTCGTATGACATAATATGACATCTTTCAGATAGCAACTTAAATTACTAGAACTTTTGAGCTAAAGCTGTAAAGTAGTGCTGTATTTTGTTACAAATATATGCAAAAGGAGAAGCATGTCAACTGGGGAGACAACCATAAGTTTATATCAAGTCTCGAGGCCCTGCAGCTGATTTTCATACCTGTAAAGGTCCATATGCTTCAAGAAAATCAAATCTATTGTGCAAAAGTAAGTCTATCGTAGATCAGTGTTTTTTAGTTTGACTTTATGTACCAAGCACCACCTACTCTTAAGTCCAAATCCTTTGCAGAGCCTCAGCACATCCCACGTGACACAAATATATATACACTTGCTAAGTGTAAAAAAAAAAACTATACAAAAATATTCAATCCTTCTTCCACAGAAAGAAGTAATCCACGGAGCAATGTATATACTCAATTGACTTCAGTTTACCACTGGTATTGTTTTTTATTTTAAGCATTGATGTCATATAAAGAATCAGATATATTCTGGGCATATCTGTCAATTATGTGAAAAATGCTCTTGCATAGTGATCTTAGCCTTCTTCAATAGCATGTAGTACTTCAGGGAAAACAGAAGCAAAACCAACAGATTTCATGTTAGTGTTGATCTCACATAATACTTCACATATCTTATGTAAGAAAGGATGAGACCCATCCCTGGAAGTGAACTCATGAACCATGCCATCAACTTCAATGGAACTTGCCCCCGGCACATTCCTCAGTCCCCTTTCTTTCATCGCCTTCCGAAGTTTGCTCACATCATCCCACCTTTCCTGTTCTGCAAAAATATTCGATAGGAGTATATAGTTCCCACTATTGTTAGGCTCAAGCTCAATTAGGTGCACCAAGGCTTGTTCTCCAAGATCAGCATCACCATGGGTCCTAGCTGCAGCAAGAAGAGCTCCCCATATTGCTGCATTTGCCTTCAAAGGCATGTCCTTAACCAAATCTTGGGCCTCCTTTAAACAACCAGCACGGCCTAGTAGATCAACCATGCACCCATAATGTTCAACTTGTGGCTTAATCCTGTACTGAGACGCCATGATATTGAAATACCAGCGACCCAGATCAGTTAGTCCAACATGGCTACACGCTGACAAGATTGCTAGAAAAGTGACATCATTTGGCGCCATATTCTCCCTCTCCATCCGGCGGAACATCTCAACAGCTTGCAAACCGAGGCCATGCAATGCAAATCCAGCAATTAGTGTTGTCCAAGTCACGACACTCTTCTCCTCCATACCCTCAAACACCTCCACTGCCTTCTCAATACACCCACATTTCATGTACATGTCTATGATCGCATTCATCAGTGGTATCTCCTGGCTCAAGCCCCGACTGACGACAAATTTGTGCACCCACCCCCCTAAATCGACCGCACCCAGATCCCCACATGCCACCAGAACCGACAGCAATGCCACACCATCAGGCTCGCTGCCATCCACCTGCATCCTTCGAAACACCTCGACTGCCTCCTCCGGACGCCTCATCTGCGCGTACCCGCCGATCACCGTGGTCCATGACACCACATTCCGCTCCGGCATAGCATCGAACAACTCCCGCGCGTGGACCAGGTCCCCGGCCTTCACATACCCGGCGATCATAACGTTCCAGGCCACAACGTCCCTAACGGCCATCTCGTGGAACACGCTGCGCGCGTCGGCGGCGTGTCCGCAGGTGCAGTACAGCTGGACGAGGCTGGCGGAGACGTGGGCGTCGGAGGCCACGTGGCCGGTGCGGAGGAGCAGGGAGTGGAGCTGCGGACCGAGGAGGCTCCTGCGGAGGAGATGCGGCGGGAGGCGCGCGGCGGCCCTGAGGTATACAGAGGGGTGTACGCGGCGGAGGAGCGCGGCGGCGTGGTCGCTGGTTTGCTGCGGGTGGGGCACAAGGCGGAGGGAAGCGAGGAGGAGGGCGGAAAGGAGACGCGGGTGGCGGTGACCGCCGCGGGGGAGGAGGAAGGCGTGCGCCTGCAGTAGGTGCCGTGGGGAGGCGAGGCGCGGGAGGAAGGAGAGGAGGCGATGAAGCACAGGCGACAGTGGCGGGGACGGCGGCATGTGACCGGCGGGTGACCGGAGCCCGTTGGCCGTAGGGTGGCTAACCCCTCACCAGTCTGCAGGAATTTGAGCTGTTTAGTTCACGTAAATAGCTCTAAGCCAGACCTAATCGAGCCACTTTGGACGCCCAAGCCTGTCTCTCGAAAAACAAGATTGAGATCCGTTTTTCGCTGGCCAGGCTTGGCCAAGCCCTCCCGTGCATTCTTGTCACCGCCCGCACCCTCCCCGCGCTGCTCCTCCGCTCGTAGTCTCGCGCCCTGCTCCTCCGCTGTCCGCTCCCCTTCTCTGGCCGCCGCGCTTACGAATCCAGGGTCGTCGGACTTCACGCTCTACTCCTCCCTTCGTCTTCACCAGCGTCTGTGTCCTTCTCACTTCTTCAATCTCGAATCGTCGGGTGCCTACTTCCCTATGACGGTGCCGGTAGGTTGGCCAAAGAGCAGCTATAGGGGCTCCTGTCAGCCACCGCCACGGGCAACAAGCAGGCGTAGTAGCAGTACCACTGCGTGGCCGGCGTGGCCAGCGCCACGAGATCGACCTAACCTGCAACGGCAGCGGCGGCATGGTGGCGTCGCAGAAGGGCGACAGGGAAGGCGACCTTGAGCCGCATGGCGTGCTCGGCGGATGCGCTGTTGGCGGCGGCGGTGTCCACCAACGGGCACCCGTTGTCCACGACGAACACGTTGTTGGCGGCAGAGCTGTGCCAGCAAGGTGGGGAGGTGGACGCGCCGATGGTCGCCGGGTGCGAGTGCCTCCGCGCGGGGCTAGAGTGGACAACGACAGCGGTAGTGCGAGGTGCCGGCGCGCGTCGCCGCGGCGGGCGCCTCGCTTGCGCTACGGGAGAAGGAGCGCGAGCTAGAGGCAGCCATGGCGGATGATGTTGCAGTGGCCATGGCAACGGTCACGTGTTCGACGAAATATGTCAATGGGGTAAACTTACCGGTCTTAGAATAGGGTGATTCTATGCAAGCCAAAGCAAACAACCGGACAAACCAAAACTTAGCCCGGCTTCAGCAATCATTCCAACCAAACAAGTGGTTGTTGGCTTGTGCTAACCTGGCTAAGTCTAGTCTGGCTCAAAAAGCTAGCCAGGCTTGGAATTGAACATGAAGCAAACAGGCCCTGTGTGGTCGTGGCGTAGGGTTTCGGGAATTTTGCAGACCCAATAGGGTCATTTGGTTCAGCTTGGCCCACTACGCATCCCATATAAATAAATAAAAACTTTGACACGCCTCAAAATTTTGCGGTCGTCTAAATTCATCTTCATCCACAATAAACTATTTTCTAAAAAAATATCTATAATTAAACCATTTTTTGATCATTCAACTTTTAATGCACCTGAGCAGTTTTGATGGTGATTTTTATTTACATGGCACCACATCAAATGTCCTATGTGGCATCATGCTAGCCACAAGAGATGTAAGGTAACTAAAAATTAACTTAAATTAGCTCTAATGCATCAAACAGAATGGCTAATAGGTGGGCTTTATATAAGTCTTCAATTAGTTGCTAGCCAACCTTGGTTAATTTGAGCTAATTTCTAGCCCCACTAGTAACTAACTCTAGCTCACCTAAACAGGCCCTAAGTTGAAAATTTAAGGAGGTAAATTTGTACCAGAAATGTTACAAAACAAATTAGGGCTTGTTTTGCCGGGCTTTGCGTAGCCCCAGCTCTCGCACTGTATGAGTACTGTAGAAGTACAGTGGTGGAGTTGGGCGAAGCGACGAACACGCAGCTCCGTTGGCTCCTCTCTCCTAGCAAACAGAGCCGGAGCCATTTCTGCCAGCGCCACAATGATGCACAGGGTCCTACAGTGATGCAAAGGGTCTTGGCAGGCGGAGCCGGAGCCAACAGGAGCAGCACCAAACGGGCTCTTAGCCTAGAGTAGCGCCGAAAGAATCATGGTTTCATAAAATACCATTGAAACATCTCGGACACGTAAAAAAAGAAGGGGAGGAGGTGGATTCACGGCGTTAGCTTCAAACGGTGACAGAATGCCAGTTTGGGTAATAGATATTTCACGTGTCTCAAAACGCAATTCTTTCAATACTATAGAACTAATTTTCCTAAAAATATACAAATATTTCTTAAAAATATGTAACTTCTTAAAAATTTATCTTATGGTGCCAAAATTATAATTGATTGAATTTTTGAAGTCTTTTTGTTGCTTATTTGCTAGTAAATGCTCTCATTGTCTATCATAATTGGTCTGCGTGAGGGCCAAGTGACTTTGATGACAACGTGTCATGTAACTACATCATACTTAATACTATTTATTAGTATGAACTTAAGTGTCACTCTATCATGTTCATGACACTTGATCCTATTTGTCCAAACATCATGATCTGTGTGCTACCATCTAGATTTTCCTATCGCACTATGCTTCATAATTCATTGTATTGAAACTTAATTAACTAAAGTCATTAGTTTGTAAAACTTAATTAAATATATTAAACAAAGATGCATACACATGTGCGGTTCGGTGCATGCAGCCACGCAGGATAACATGGCTACTTTGAAAATTTATTCA